CTAAGGCCCTAAACTATACCAAGTCCAGAGGCCCTAAACTATACAAAGTCCTGATGCCCTAAACTATACAAAGTCCAGAGGCCCTAAACTATACAAAGTCCAGAGGCCCTAAACTGTAGAATTTCCAGAGGCCCTATTACTATACAAAATCCAGAGGCCCTAAACTATACAAAGTCCAGAGACCCAAAACTATACAAAGTCCAGAGGCCCATAACTATACAAAGTCCAAAGGCCCTATACTATACAAAGTCAAGACGTCCTAAACTATACAAAATCCTGACGTCCTAAACTATACAAAAACAGAGGTCAACTATCTTTTAAAATTGCATCAGCTGGTCAAAGAAATATGAACACTATAGTGCCGGCAGCTTGTGAGACCCTGAGATATATCTTACGTAGCGTATACGTAAATCCGGCAAAATTCTACACCTAAATACGTATTTTGTAAAATCATTTCTTGGTGACAGTTGTGATTGGCTACGTTTCTTTTGTTAGGCTAGTGTTCGGTATAAGTAAATAGTGTTAAAAGCCAATAATAAAATTGCTAAAAAAAAAATAATAATAATTCTTTGATTAAAAGAAAAAGTCCCATACCCTTTAATCGATAACTAAAAATGTAAATACATGAAGCAAAAAAGTGTTGACTACACAAGTGAAGCGAATGGCCAACAAATCCATTAATGATCGCTTTCTTATTATTTCGTTTCAGATTGGCCTCAAGGCATTCCAGACATTGTGCTAGCATTATCGTAACCTTGAGCTCTGCACTTCATTATGTCTTGTCTATCAAGCTTTTTATTTATTTCTAAGAATTTATATAAAATAGCTTGCTGTCACTTTCGAAAGTTGCCGAAAACTTCATTCCGTGTGGAATAATGGTCAAAATGGTGTTTTTCTGACCTTATTAAAGGGTTACCTCCTTTCTGACGTATCAACCATGAAATTTTAATAAAGCACGCATCTGGATTCGTTACATGTGTGGCAAATGCACGTGTGCCTGGTTATCCTTATTTGAAATTTAATTCGACCGAGAAGTTTGTTCTTTGTATACATGTTATTTTTCAAATTTGGCGTCCCCCCCCCCCCTAAGATGGTGTCACCCGGTGCGGTCCGCACGCCCCTCAACCCCCCCCCACAGCTACGCCACTGCTTCTCCGTATATCCTGAAGAGTTATGTCACATGCTTCTATTACCACGTTGTGAGCCATGGTGCACTCATACCAAGCAATCACCTTGCACCCCTGAGTTGTATTACACTGTCTCGAAACGTTGCACAAAGAAGTCTCGAGCAGGGGTGACACAACTTGGGAATTGTCCCAAGATCTTTGGAATTCACTACCCCCCCCCTCCCCATCAGGACGCAAACTCACTTTAAAAAAAAATTCTCATGATCCTTTAAAAAAAAAAACTCATATAATTTTATGATCTTGGGAAATCTTGGGGATTATTTTGGCAAAATCTTGGGAATTTAAAAAAAATTGACTGGCAGCCCTGGTCTCGAGATGATTTACATTGAATTGAGAGGAAGTATAGGCATGATTAGCTGATATAATAGCTGTACGCAGCTACGATGTTTGTATTTTCAAAGAAAATATATAAATCTTGATTTGTAACACAAGAACATGGAAAGATTTTGGTAAAATTGGCAAACCTATATTACTTATTTTTAAAGAAGAATCTTCATACCCATGTCCACGTTAGTAACACCATCGGGATTTGGGTTATTGCCTTCCTCATTAAAATGTACAACCCCCATTCCAAAAAGGAAAAAGAAAGTGTGTAATCAATGTTTTCCATTCGCGAGATATTCAGATACTCCATGGGATATAGGCCACCTCGATTTTTGGGACAGCCTCTCTGGCCCCCGAATCCTGACGAGATCTCCTGACCTCACGAGTCAAAACGATTTGGCCAGTGATCTAACAATTTGAAATCAAGCATGCAGACAGACCTTGTAGCGTGTATTTAAGGATAACAAATGAAGGACTGCTTTCAAGCTGTGTGAAGGAAATAGTAGAGCCAGGTAAGTGGAGGCCTGAATAGAAAGACATGGCGATAAAGGGTCACACTATCGGCCCCTTTTACCACAACCGATTTTTCGATATTGAGGTTTTATGTATATCGAAATCCCCATATTTTTTATATGTTCAATATTTAGAGAATTTTTCGCCAAGATTTGAGATTATACCTGACGATTTATCAATGAAATAAAAACATTCAGGAAAATTTTTAAAAAGCTTTTAACAATAACGCAAAACGTTTACTTCAGACATTGATCAAGCGAAGAAAAATAATATTCTTAACTTTTGAATTTAAATAGTCTTATTAATCAAATATTACAATAATTAATGTTGCTTTAAACTTTTGCTAAATTTGAATAATAGGATCGTAAAAAAGACAAAGTTTGTAAAAAAAATAATCACTTAATTTTGACCGCAAATGGTTACAAAATTAACGTGATGACAACATCCGCTCATACTCCACACTTCGTCGGGCGAATTGCAATTTCTACATATTTTTACTGAGATAAAATTGTCTTTCAAATTCTTCTTGAGATATGTCAAAGATCGATTTGTAAATCAATAAGCCTTTTCTTTAAAGAGTTTTTTTTTTAGTCTTAACAGCCTTCTACTATGTCTGCTAAACAACTTGTGCTCTTGTGCTGCAATTTAAAATTAAATTACGCTCACGACCGATTACTTCTTTTACATATTTCTCAAGAATCGCATTTTTTGGTAGGCGACTTTCTGAAAATGTTTGCCATATCTCTCACTTTCTCGGTTAAATATTTGAAAACAAATTAATTATTTTTACTGATCTCAGCTGTAACATGAAAACTACAGTTGTCCTTATCTTGAGTCACGTGGTGTGAGGGGCTCGCGCTATGCACATCACATTAAGTGTTGACATGTCTTGCTTTAAAACGACATGCCAACTAAGAGATAGCGACCCCTAATGACAAATTAAAGAAAAACGTTACGGTTTAGGGACATGCTCAGCAGACAGGACAAAGGAAAATACAACACGAAATAGAAGATAGTTTTTAAAAAAAAATTCACTCATTAGACCAGGTTTGCACAACATACGGCCCGCGGGCCGCATACGGTCCGCCAGTACACACTTCCCGGTACGCGAAGTAACGAAATATTCTTATTCTTATCATTTTCTTAATAGCTTTCCCCCTTTGTCCTATTTTCTTTTGGCCCGCACAAGTTCTGTCATATTTTCCTATGGCCCGCACACATTTTTTTAAAATAAAGTATTAAGGCACGCCTTACATTTTAATTTGTGCAGGCCTGCATTAGACAACCAATCTACAAGGCAACCAACCTACGAGGCAAACAACCAACTAGACAACCAACTCCGCTCTCCACTACCTTAGATTAATCAATTAATAAATAATTATGGATTTTGTGAATGTATCCATTACTCTTAATTAACATAAATAAGTTTGTGATTTAAAACGACTTATTAAAAATAATTGACCAGTTTTGTAAAAGACAGCTCAGTATGAGTAGTGAGCAGACTGATTTTTTTATTTTTTTTTTGAGGTGCAGGTGGGGGGTGCAGAGGTTTCTCTACCATTATATTGGAAAAAAAGGAGAGGGGGGAGCTTTCTTTGTGTGTCTATTTGTGATCATTAAGGGTAGGGGGTAAAAAAAATAGCAAAATACGCGTCACGTCATTTTTAGATGCCCCTTGGTTATCAAATGGTTTATAGAGGGATACAACAAAAGGGGCCCAAAAATGACACAAATCACCGCATTGGGGCAGACAACTCTCTTTCAGGGCTACCACACCTTGGGAAATTTCCCAAGATCTTGGGAATTCACGACCCCCCTTGGGATCTGGGGAATAATTTTGAAAATCAGGCAAAACCTTGGGAAATCTTAACTGGGGGGGGGGGGGGGAATAATTTTTAAATCCTCTCATAAAATAATTAAAAACTCTTCTAATATTAAAGTTAATATTGTCAATTATTAAAAAGTTAATAATTTTAAAAAATTTCAATTTCTCTTTTTTTTTTTAAATTGAAGATTTACAAATTACTTCCAGGTTTTGAATGATTATTAATTTGGGGGGGGGGGGTTAGGCTCGTAAACTTTATCATTATACTCTTAGACATTAGCAACCATACGAAAAACAGTACAAGCCAAAGAGTGAACGATAGTGTTCAATCAAGAATCCGTGCCATAGTAAAATTTGATTATTTCAATTACTTCTACAATGTGTTCAAAATATAATGCATCTGTAAAAAATCCAGCCTAATTTTCATTAATTAGAAAAAATATTTTTGGATTGTAACACAGATAACTAAGATATTAAAAGTATAGGCCTACGTTGTAGGATTATAAATGAACAATTCCTTTAAAAGTATTTTTTTTTTGTTGAAAAAATCGTTATATATAATGTATATTTACAAAAATAAAATAAAAACACTTATTGTTTTCATCATAATATCAACCCATTTTAACTACAATTATTATTAATAAATTTTGCTTAATTGCTTTGCGAACCCCACTTCTAATCAACAGACTTACAATAATAAAAATCATTTTTTGATGAAGAACCTTTTGCCCTTGTGAAAAGAATTCTGTGTTGATTAGCCTTGTAAGCTTTGTTTCCAAGTGACTTCTATTACACATGTATTGTAGATGATATTTTTACCAGAGAATTCGGAGATAATAATTAGTAGCCTAACCCCAATGGGTATTGATATTTTGGATTATAAATTATTTTTTTAAACAAATTGCTTTGTTTTTGTTTTTTTATGTTATAAACATTTTTTAAATGTCTTTTTCAATAAATTTCAGTCAATTAAAGTACCATGTTTTTCAGGGGCATTAATTAAATCTATTATTACATTAATTACATAGAAAACCCCCCTTTACAAAAAAAACTCTTATATATTCTTATGATCTTGGGAATTCTTGGGAAATTTGCTCACCAAATCTTGGGAAATTTAAAAAAAGTGAGTGGCAGCCCTGCTCTCTTCCTATATAGAACTTCCTGCTGTTAATTTCTGTGCTGCTTGGCTACCAACGCAACAAAATCTTCTAAAATTTGGTTTGTAGTAAATTAGTTTAATGATTTATTGTCCCGTTTTAATTCTCAGTGAATATTTTTTTAATGTTTACGCGAAGTCTTTGGACCAAAAAAAAAAAGTGATGCTCGTTCAGCCAAATGGTGCCTAAATTTTACTAAATCAAATGTCTGTGTAAGTCTAAAAGTCTAATCTAAATAAAAGTCGAAGTAAAGCTTGGGCGCCAGTCAGACGGTGTTATAATTGAAACAATTTTTAAATAGCCTATATGCAATGAATTTTAAATGACACACAATTTTAAAGAGGGGCTTGTTATAAATAAGTATAAGCTTTAAAACACATCAATTTAATTTTCCTAGCTTTTAATGTTTGAAAGAAAGTATGGTGGTTCAATAATGAGCTCAATAGAGGCAATAGAGAGCAAAAGATAATTCCCGATAACTACGCTAATGACATTAATGATTTTTTTCTTTTAAATAACGCAACTGCGTTTGGTGCCTAGTATTTTCTTTTCTTTTTGGAAAATGAAATGTCTCTATTTAAATATTGTGTACCGTAATAAATTAAATATTCAGTTTTGAAGCGGTTGGGACATCAGAATACTGATTGATATAGATTGATAATAAAAAGTGTGCAGTAATGTATCATGGGGGAAGGTGTGTGGCAAAAATTGGGATTCTTCAATGTGCATTACTTCAGTTCATGTTTTGTCAAGTAACTTTAGTACGTGGGAAGTTCATAGATTGCTGTAGCCTCCAATGTTTTGCGAGCTATAACTAGTATGAAATATTTGTGGATGTAAACTGTTTTCTATGTCCAAATAAAAATATAAAAACTATGAAAATGAATATCTTAAGTCTAATTTATTAATTTATATATTACCAGTGCCTAACTTTCAACAAGTCATAGATAGACTATTACACTTGTGTCAATAGTCATAGTTTTCCTACGATTTGTTATAATAATATAATTTAAGACTAGACCTAGTATTGCTACTAAATAATACCTTATTAAATTGAGAATACTAACTTAAATTATGTCCTAATAAATAGATATAATTAGCCTTATACTTAAAACTAATATTAGTAATTAGTAGTACTAATAGTATTGGTAGACCTACTCCCTAGACTACACAAATCTATGCCTATTATAGTTAGTCTATACTAAAAAAGTACTATGCTATTAATTTCAATTTATAGGCTTAAATACGCTCTCTATACTCTTAATATACTCTATAGACATCCATAGATAGTATAATAATAACTGTACTTACTACTTAGACCTATATTCTATATATTCTATATGTAATTTTAACATGTAAGCTATGTAGCCTAGGCCTAATTTTAGTAATAATGTTCTCTTAACTTGTATGAGTCCAGAAATTCACCTGAGTACACTAAGTAAATTTAATATAAGACTCTTTAATTTATTGGGTTGTATTAATTTCTAATAATATTGTAAAACTGTTTTCCATTCATTAACTGATTAGTGTTACAAGAAATTTTTAAAGATGAACAATAATGAAAATAGTTTTATATCTTTATATTAAATTGATAAGATCAGCTATTTCTGGCAACCCAATTTTTGTTTTTGTGAGAGAGGATAACTGGTGACAACAGACATTTTTATTTACAGGGTTAAATGGATAACTTTTTGTGAAATTGCTATTATTAATGAAAGAAAGTTATTCCCATATGAAAATGAAAGAAGCAGAAGCGCAATAAAGTAGTACGATTATACATTAAAAAATAGAAGCTATTATTATTAAGTGCATACTGATATATAAGAATAAATACATTGCCAGTCACAAAATACAATATTCTGAAATAAATGATATAGCAGTGTTTGGAAAAATATGGGCTCTACGTCACTGATGAAAAAATATTTTATAATTAGCAAACTGAAATAAAATAGAAAAAAAAAATGATAACTGAGCCGAAGGTAAAATGGCCACAAAAGTTTATGCATCATGTTTTGACATGCTCAGAAGATATGTGCAAGTGAGTTTCATATTACCTGCTTGGTAATTTTATGCCTGATGTTTCCCCATGCCCCTATACTTCTACCATGTATTTTCACAACTTTTTTTTCTACGGCTGCCATCTTTGTCATAGCAACAAAGAAGGCAGATGTGTACAAAAAAAAAAAGAAAGGGCAAAACGTTGTCTGCTAAAATTTAAAGTGGCGAGGGGAAAGTCAGTCAATGTGTTGTTTCGACTGCTTACCGAGAGAAATGAAAATAAAAACAAAAAGTTAACCTTTAATGGTTGCCCACTTTCTAGGTTTAATTTTAGCCAATACATTAATTCCATGGCAAACATAGCAACTTTTTTTAAGCCCTCTAGATATGCAGCAAGAAGTATCAACGACCTGCAGTCGCTCCCTTCCCTCAACAAAAAAACATGTGCTACAAAATTAGGGTATGTTTAAAATATAATTAACCACCCAGTGAAATATTAACTTAAAATATTTTGTTCGGCATATCAATATTTTTAAAAATCCAAGCATAAACAAAAGGGAACTCATTCATCCCAGTGCCAAACATCAAGCTCACTTCCTAAAGCTTAATTTGAAGTAGGCCAAGGCTCAATCACTGCAATCGGGGCCATGCCAAATGAATGTCTATAATAAGCCACTGATGCCTAGTAACAGTAACCTCTATCTATTGTGGTAGTATCTATTCTTAGTCTTAAAGTTAAGGTAGTCTAAGTACTCTAAGTCTAAGACTGTCACTATCTATGTTTAGCCTATTTTAGTCTTAAGTGAGTCTGCACGCTCTAAGACTATCAGAGGCATAGCTAGAGTGTTTGCCGCCTGGGGACAAGATTCATTTTAAGGGCCCCCCCCCCAAACTCTTTCTTTTTTTAACTCTCAAACCCATTATTTTCATCAATAAAATAATATCAAAGCACATTTTAAAGCCTCTAAATAGTCTGCCACCCAGGGACATCAGTCACCCTCTGCCCCTCATCCCAGCTGCATCAACATCTAACTTGTTAGTAACGATGTCAACAGGGCAGAGCGTTTCTAGGTGCTTAACCGTGTTTTGCAGACCTAGGTGAGAATTAAAAAATGCTCCCCTTTCCCTTTAACTACCATCACTCTCTCCCCCTGTCATCCAGGCTAGAAAAATTAATGTATTAGTACGATTAGCTATAAAAATAAAAAAAGAACTTTATTGAACATTAAACAATAATTTAAATTTTCCTCTTTTTAATTTTTTTTTTCCTAATTTTCTAAATTGTTTCGCTATTTGATTTCAAATTAAAATCTTTTGATACCCCTAATATTTTGCTGCACTAGACAGCCGCCTAGTATTGCATAATGATAGTACCAGCCGTGTATGTCGAGAATATTTTAGTCTAAAGTGAGACTATATACTCTAAGACTATCACAATGTCTAGTAGGCAGTGGTTAGATATTACTGTAACTGATGCTTTGAAAAGATTTAAAGCCAGTGCTATAATACACATGTGCCAAGCTGGGAATGGGTTTGTATATTTGATAGGTCATTGTCAACAAATAAAATCCAATAACTAAAACTGGATCAAAACAATTTGAGACTTTGAAGGTCTGATTTAATGTTTTATTAATTGATAATCTTGAGCAGATGCCAGGATGGAGACCGGACATCCCCTCAAATTGGCTTACTTGATAGTGAACTGGATGCGGCGGAAAAAAGGTAAAGGTAATAATTTTTATGACGGGAATGTGTATATATATTTGCTAAATCACTGTAAAAAATTTTTTAAAAATTAAAAATCAAAATTTAACAATTTTAGACTTTGAAGATTTACTTAAATGTTTAATTAATTTATAAATTTTTAGCATATAGGAGTACTAGGATGAAGACCATACGTCCCCTAGAATTGGCGTACTTGACTGAAAAATGGATGCGGTGTCAAAAAATTAAAGGTAATAATTTTTAAGCTTGTGCTAATCGAATCTAGGTGTTTATTTGTTAATTAACTACAACTCATCTATTACTCCTTGACTATCAAATTAAATAATTTTTTTTAAGGTACTTATGATTATGTTAAACTGAAACTCTCCATGTGGAATCTCACCTGGAATGACATACTGCGTACGTCAGATCCATCGATGGAAATCATGGCGTTGAAGGTAAGACTGTATTTAAAAAAATTATACATACTTATTACTTAATTGATTGTGCCAAAAAGTCTGAGAAAAGAGGCAAATATCGGCAAGGTAACGTCATGACAAAAATGTCTTGACAAAAAAATGTCAGTACCTTACTGCTGTTTCTAGCTAGATCTCTTAATTAAGTTACCCGGTATTAATAATTATTTTATAATTTTATTTTGAATGTCAAACAATTGTCAGAAGTCGTCTTAATGGTTTTAAAGATTATGTGATGATAAAATTAACATGATTCGTGGTTCAAATCACAGGCTCTTAACCAGAGATGACTGCTTACCCAGGGAGTTGGGGCAGTAACCAGGGGTTCGGGAAGACACAGAAAATCTGGTTTATTTGCATTTTTATTAGTATTTTTGTATCCTGTTGGGTGCAGAAAATGTTTTGGAATTTAGGGGGTGATGTGACAGTTTAGAAGGTTTAAGAACCCCTACTTTAAATCATGTTGCAATGAAAAAAAAATTGATATTTTGATTAAAAAAATTCAGGAAACCGTCCTCTTAGCCAGGGAGCGCAGTCCTCTGTTGGTTGGTGAACCTGAGTGTAAAGTTCAACTTTATTCAGGATTGTTAAAATACGGGAACACAGGTGAGTGAATATTTTTATTTTAATCTTTAATTTTAGTTAGAGCCACTGTGGCCCTAATGTGGGGTTGAGGGTATGCTCTTATATTTAATCCACAACATATACTAGCATTAAATTGTCATTAATATTTGACCATCTAAATAAATTGTCAGTAATATTTGACCATTATATAAATTGTCAGTGATATATTTTTGTTGTCTACGGTATATAAATTGTCAGTAATATTTTACAGTCCATATAAATTGTCAGTAATATTTTACTGTCTATATAAATTGTCAGTAATATTTTACTGTCTATATAAATTGTCAGTAAAATTTTACTGTATATATAAATTGTCAGTAATATTTTAACGTCTATAGACATTGCTACAACTAACTTCGTCTAATAACCTATAGGATTTTTGTTGAAGGTTGAATTCTTTTAAACTATTAAGTCTACAGATTAGTCCTCTTGGTATAAAATAGGTATGCAATAATTTGATCAACCTTCTTTATAAATCACGTTCAATTAATAATACAATTGTTATCTGTTTACCTAACAGGTTTTAACCAAAACGTTAAGCTTTCGTTTGAGGATCTCCCCGACTATATCCTAAATTACTTGAGCATTAAGTCTCTTAACCTTGACCTTGGGAGGGAAGTAACTGAAACCGACCCCAGTCCTTACCTACTTAATCCTAAACCGATTCAACATGATTCTGAAGATGCTGGCCCAGTATGGAGGGGCTGTTATGTTGGTGAGTTATTTCTTCCCGTTTCACTTTGAAAAAAAACAGGTATGCAGAGTCTGCAAAATTCATATTAGTTCTGCTATATGAGTGGCAATGTGTTTTTAGTGTATATGTCTGAGTGACAATAGACATATACACTGCCGATGTTCATGGCCATTCTTATTTTTAAACTCTTGAAAACATGTTTCATGCTGTCTGACTCCCACTAATGAAAAATTAATGTGCGTTTTTTTTCCCCATCTATTTATATTTGATATAAAGGCTGTTAATTCTTTTCTTTTAAGCTGTATTCACCTTGAGAGCTAATTTGAGTGGTGATGTCAAAGTTAATGAAGATCTGGGGTCGGTCCAACAGGAAAACTTGAAGGAAATCGTGCGCTGCCTTAAATCTTCAAAGAAAACCGATTACATTTTATTAACATCTAAAGGCTGTGAATGGATTGTAACAGGAAGATGTGAATTTAACCTGTACAGCTAACTGTATCAATGCTAATTGTTTTTTATTTGCCAAACTCATTATATGTTTCAGGGTCATACTAGTTTGGGGCCGGCCATCCATATCGTCCATTCACAAAAAAATAGAAATTTACAAACAACCCAACACCCCCCGTCCCACCCACCCCCAAAATAATGGAAGGCATTTTGCGATACTTTATTTACATTATTGCGAAGACATAAAACCTAACAATCAAAATGTTCACGTTTCTAACATCATTTTGTTTTGAGAAATATTTATCAGCATTATAATGTTTACCTACCTTACCCATTTTCAAGGCCCTGAATTTACAAGGTAAAAAAAACACACAAAAAACAAAAAACAATCCTTGTCCTTTAAAAACTTTAACTTAGCACAAAAAATTTAAATACCGTTTTAAATATCTGTAACATTGACGGAATTTGATATATTGGTAATTCCATTAAAAGAGGACCGATGCTTCTCTACTACATTATTGGAAAATCGTAAAACACAAAATTCTTAAGAATTGAAGAATATTTAAACTAATTTTCACGTGTGACAACCTTGATTTTTTTCCTTTTAAAAGAAATATTTTTAATCTCATAGAAATCTACAGCCACCTTTCCATGAACTTTATTGTCGTAAAATGAAAAAAAAAATATTTTCATATTTTGGAAAAAAAATTGAGCCCCTCAGCTGTAAAGGAAAAAAAAAATATGGCTCTACTTTTAATATTAAATTTTCATTTGCGTAAAATGATTGGGTTTTTCTTCTACATAAAAATGTTCCCATTCTCTTTCTTTCACTCTTAATATGTATTTTCAAGAAATATTTAAAGTGTATTAAGAAAAAAATAGTGCTTATCCTCATAAATATTTGTCAAACCTTTATCCTTGGCCTTTAACTGTAACCTTGATAGCCTTTTTTGCAATGAAAATAAACATCCTCTATCTTCCATTTGCCAACCTTTCACTTTCTGAGCTATTGGTAAACTTATGTGAATGTACCAATTGTTTGTCAAAGCCCTTGAACTCTATTTTATTTAATTGGTATAAGTATTAGAAGAAGGTTAAATACGTAATTTAATTAGTTTTAAAACTACCAATATACCAATCCCAGTGTGTAAGATATTTAAGCTCTGAGATATAATTACATATAAAATATGCCGGGCCATATTGTGGAAATATTTGTGCTGTCTTGGGCAAACCTGTGATACTGTGGTGCATTATTTATGCTATCTGGGACAAAATCTTAAAATCGCAACCCCATTCCCCTGCACACAAATATATATTTTTTTCAAATAAACATTAATAAAAGCAACCCAGGGATGTTAACACACCTATTTTATAAACACACACTCCCCCCCCCCTTTTTTTTTTCACCCTTAAACTAAGTAAACATTTATAATTATATGTCCAACTATATTTTTTTATTTAAAAAAAAATGTTCAATGCTCTTTGTAAATTTTAAAAAGATGTTGATTTATTTTTAAATTGGAGAAAATATTGTTTTTTTTAAAAATGTGCATCCCAAATTTTATAAAATCGCACTTGAATGTAAACAAAGAAAATTGTAAAATTCATAGTTCACAATTTTAAAAACATAAAAATATCTATATGCCAATATTCAAGCCTGTATTGTTTTTGACTTTTTCATATACCTAAAATATTTGTAAAATGTACCAACCCCACCCCAATCTTATATAAAATATTAAAATATTAATTTCTACTCTCTTGTACGGTAATGTATAAATCAGAATGAAATTTCTAAGCACGATAAATTATACAGTATTTAAAGAATAACCTTTTTATTTTTATTATAATTCATAAAATCTGAAGTTAACTACAGCTCCATTGACTGGTCATTAGCTGGTATTATTATCTACCGACGTAACAGTAATAGTGTTGATTGTTAGAATTAGAGTAGTTTCAGATGGGACCTTCGCTGTAAATTTCAACATTAATTTGAATAAATTATACATCAATCTATATTATTTTTTCAACATCTAAACCTGTTAGTCTAGTATGAGCCTGGAAAGCTCTTTAACAACTAATTATATATGCCCCCCCCCCCCACTTTTTTTTTGTGTGTATCTTTCCCTATCGCTGCGATGTGATGACTAACTAAAGCACTTTAAGTATAAGTAATAATACTCATACTTTGGTATAATGAAGAATGTTCTTGTAATAATCTTTTGCTATTAAATTAAGTTGTAGTAAAAATAGAATGCCTCTAATTAAGTTCTATAATCATAAAATTCAATCTGATTTTTTAAGATTTATATTAATTCATATGTGATTAATATGAATGAATGTGTAATGATACTTTCACATTCTAATACAATGCAAGTCATTTTGCCAATTTACATAAATTAAATTTTATTTCCCAACATTAAGTATTCATTCAAAAAGCAACAGATGTGATAAATGTGATTTTGAAATAATAATATTAATATGGGACAATAATTTTTTTAATTATAAAAAGAATATTTTGACTTAAAAATTAAGACAAAATACTTAAAATAGTTCTTTAATTTTTACATTACATGTATTTTTAATTTATAATTATCATTTAAAGTAAGTTTTAAATATCAGCAGATGTATTTTATTTTTGGCCTTGAGGAGAAACTGCCCAGTGTACAATGTCTTAAAACGGCACTGGTTTATTATAGAAGTAGTATGTAGTGAGTGACATTCTATTTTTATTGAAACTTTTAAAGTTGTATTCTTTTCTTTGCTCTACTATTGAGGTAGCTACCGTTTTTTGGCAGCAAATATCAATGCAATTCAAAGGTAAACTTCAGCTTGGTATGAAGAGAAAACATAACAATATAAAGTAATATATTTAAGATTGATCTAATGTATCCGTATAACTTGAGTATAACGCTAAAAAATGAATTGTCTTCATAAAAACAATGATAATAATAGGCTTTTTCTATTATTTTATGGAAATCGAATACATCTTAATTTTAAATACAAACTTGACAAGTAGTTTTGGAAATAAATTTGCTTTCTAAGAGCAGTTGGGGGGGAAATATTTAATGAAATAGCTTAAAGAAAATAGTTTGGATTCAAATTTAAAAAACAATAATGGACGTGGGGTTTGGGGGGGGGGGGGGCAATGGAGTCAGAGCTGGCCCTGGGTGACAGTATGCCTAATTTAGTCACTAATAGATGACTCCCCCTCCCCCTTTTCCCCCATTCCCCAGATGAGCTTGTCTGAAAGAACCTCTGGTCAAAACGCATGAGCCAACCTATGTCCCAATTGCTTTTCCTATGCCTTCCTTTCCATTCTTCTTTACTTTGTTTAAGTCTGGCTCTTTGCATCCACTCCTATTTTTTCTCCTTGTTTAGGTAGGATGTATGCATACATATACTATGTAAAATTACGTTATACTTATTTAATTGTTTTGTTGTTATGCAGATGAAGGCATGTGCCGAAACGTCTATTTATGTATTATGTAAAATTATTATTAAAGCTTAACATGTTGTTATATTGACACAAATTGTGTCTAATTAATCTAGTTTAAAGCTTTATCGCAGTCCAACACTTTGAAATTAGTTAATTTTTCAAATTTTTAAACTTGTTTAATAACATCTTTATCTTTCTGCAATTTATTGAAATAACTTGTATCGTATAATTATAATGAACAATTTTACCTGTAAATTTTTGTATAATCAGAATAATATATATATTTTCAAATAAGTGGAAGGAAAGGGACTTTGAAAGATAGAAAACAAATTTTTGTGACCCTGATATTTTTTACTTACCGGTACTATTATTAGAAAATGGAACTCATGGGAGAAAAAAAAAATTAGCTAAATTCTTTCTTGGTGCACAAAATTAATTAATAATTGTTTTATGACTATAAATGCTATAAAAAAGATAATTGTGATACTCGACTTTAACCTTCCAGTAGGCGCATCTGATCAGATTGATACATAATGGATGTCAACCGTTTTTATTTTACACACCTAAATGAGAGATGACAATGCACTGCACTTATCAGTAGCATGTTTTCCCTTATGGGCCAAGACCGCTTATTGTGCAGAAAATGAAATGCTTTCAGAGTGCAGATTTTGGCTGCTTTGTTTAAATTGATACACTTTGCCTTTGCACATACTATTTTTGAAGTTTGAAATTTGTATTATTTTCTTGCTTTGGTTAATTAGTTACTTTTGTCATATTAATATTTGTACATATAATAATACTGATACTTTATCTTTTTTTGTATATAAACTAATGCATTATCTTATTCGTATATATACTGATAATACTCATGTACTATCTTGCTGCCTAACATGTAGGAGTTGTTGTAAATGTTAGATCTTAATCTTATGAATCTCAAATATATAGGGGAAATTAAAAGAATAGCAGAATTTGAAGGTACCCCGGTATACTTAAGCACAAATTTTCTAACATTTGCCTGGCAATTCGGAAGCTTATAATATAAGCTCAAACAGCCTTATACCAGATAGGCCTACTAATATCTGTTGTAAATAGTAAAACAAATATAATATCATATGATATATAACCTTTGAAAGTAATTAAATGGATCTCACTGATTTTTATGTAGCTATTTATGAACTTTCAATTTCAGGATTATTGCAGAATGTGTGCATAAATTAATCATTCTGTCTTTGCAATATGTGAATGTAGGCAACATGTCCTAAATCAACACCTGTCCGTCAATGCTTTGATTAGTCCATAAAATTTCTAATTAATGAATTGTCATTGATGAAACTTGAAAATATTAAAATTTTAAATGGAGGACAAAAATGTAATTATTATTCTTATAGTTTTGTTTCTTGTTCATTCTTCATGTAAAAGGATGTTAGCAATTAACAGTCATTTTCCGTGACCAAATCTTGAGAAGACTTTTATATATTACTATATCATGCTGGTCATTACAAGACTTTTGTGTTATTGCTGGTCCAGTTATGTTTCATGCTGTGCCCACCAGCAATGTAAATCAAGCCGACCATGCAGTTCCCCAGACCACCATTTTGGGAAACACTGCCTTAAAGAAAACCACTGCAGTTGTTGTGCTGCTACTGAACTGATGGCCAAATTAGAGCATGCTAGTTCAGGGACAGTCATAGACAAAAGAGATTATTTTAAGGCATGTATTAACTAAAATGTTTAAAACATTTTTAAAAAAAAA